AATTAGTTTGACTTTGTAACTTTTAGACTGAGGCAAGGACATAAGAGATTGGTAACTGAATATTTAAAAGGAGTTTTTTTTTTTTTAAACAGTAATTTGTTCAAGAGCTAAAGGTGCCTTATCTTCTCTTAAACTCTCAAGATATTTTCATCCTGTAACAACATCTGTGCTTAGAACCCCCCCCCCCCAGTAATCTAAGCAGACAAGCCCATCAAGATTAAATCCTGAGGTTTACAGAGTTTACAAAACTTCAAGAGTTGTTTTCTGAGGAGTATTCTTTTTGTACTTAAAGTATTTTTAAAAAATGTTTTTTTTTAATTTCAGATTTTCATACATGTATACAAAGAATTTTTTTTATTATACTCCTATTTTCCTCCTCTGCCCCTCAACCCTCTCCTCAGCATGTCCTCCTCTTTGTGACCCAGAGTCTAGTTAATGCTGCCCCACTTGTCTCCTCTGATCTATAAAACATTTCTAGTTGTTTTTATGATGTGTACACTGTTAAACATTTTTTTTTCTTGGTCTAAAAGTTGTTAAATTTGTAAAGCTTATTTGCTTTGTCTTTCTGGGGAAGGAGCACAGATAGGGCATAGAAGCACAGGTCAGACTACTTTGATTTATAGGCTACAATTTAAATGGCATTCTCATGTTTTTTAAGAGGATAAGGAACATTTAATCACTTTAGGCTACAAGATCTCTTTTGAGGGGGAACAATTCATATTGGGTGCATTTTTCTCCCATAAACAGCTCTCTATATTCCTCAGTGTAAAAGGGCTTTTCTTTATTTCTATGATAGTGCCTTTTCAGTCTTTACAAAATGTTTGCTGCCAGTTTCCCCAGATAGAACATAAATAAGTCCTGTGAAGCCAAGGGCTTTGACATGGTATGGTCATCCTGTATCCCTGGCAGCTGGATACTGCCATACATATTGTTGGCTTTAGTAAATATTTGTTGAATGAATGAATTTGGTAATGTCTAAGGTTTACTATTCTCTTTCACAGTACATCCTGTAGGCCTTCGTTTGTTTCCTGAGATTGCTTATATGCCTGGTCAACCATATCCAAATCTGGAATCACTGAACTTGCTTAGTTCCTAGCTTATCCATCTTTTTAGTATAGTGTCTTTTGAAGCTGCACTCTTTGGAAAAATTGCCATCAATTAGAAAATCATCTGGTCATTCTTATTTTCCTAAAACGTACCCAAACTTATCGTCTGCTTCCTCATCTTCCTGTATTTCTGTGTTTGCAAATAGTAGCTTATTTTTCCACCCTTCCCCCCCAGTGTCAAGTTTCCTGGTCATGTGATGTTTTGCCCCTTCTGAGTTTCTACTTTTAGTTGCTCATCTCTTCTGTCCAAAGTATTTTCACTGACGCATTTTTTGTGAGTGCCGTTCAGCTTTGTCTGCCACTGCTGGTGTTTTAAGTTCAGGTTGTCAGAATTCCTCTTCACTAGTGTCAGAAGTCCTCTTTATTAGTTATCCCGGGACATTGGTCTCAAAGACTTTATTTATTCTATGAGGAGACTCAACTGTTTTGTCACCTAAATGGTGTTCTTCCTTGAAGTTAAAAATTAAGCTAGTCAGGGTAACACATCACAATAATCTTAACACTTGGGAAGTGCAGGGAGATCTGGAAGAAATTGGTCACATGGAAGCCTTGGTGACATAGAGTTTTAAGGCCAGTCTGAATTATATGACACCATATTTCAAAAAAAAAAATAGTTTTTAATTTTAAAATTTAAAATTTTAAAATTAGAGTTTCCTGTTGGGCATGGTGGTACATGCCTTTAATCACAGCACTTGGGAGGCAGAGGCAGGCAGATCGCTGTGAGTTTGGGGCCAGCCTGGTTTGGCCAAACTGAGTTCAAGACAGCCAGGACTACACAGAGAAACCCTGCCTTGAAAAACGAAAAACAAACAACGACGACAAATTTAGAGTTTCCTTAAGTTACCAAGGTTGACCTTGAACTTGCCTTTTATCTCAGTTTCTTAGTAGCTAGGATTATAGACCTGTGCTACCAGGACCATTTAGAATTTGTGTGTGTGTGTGTGTACGCACACTTAGATTTATTTTGTGTGAATGAGTGGTTTGTCTTCTTGTGTGTATGTATGTGCACCGTGCCTGTGCCTGGTGCCTGGTGCCCACAAAGGTCAGAAGAGGTGGTTGGATCCCCTGAAACTGGAGTTAACGGTTGGTGTGGGTCCTGGGAACCAACCTGGATCTTCTGCAAGAGTAACAAGACAGCTGGACCATCTCTCCAGCCTGATAATTTTCTTTTTTAATTTAGTACCTAGCATTAGTTGTTGAGCTGCAATGTTTGGTACACTGTCACAGGAAGAGAACCTCTGACTTGGCTGTGTCATTTTTCTTTAGCACTTTCTGCTTTAACACATCATTTTCTCGAGGCTTGTTATTTCCATTTGCTCCTGTGTGTTCTTGAGCTGCCACTGCTGCTTAGAGCTGTTAGAAGCATAGACTCTGAAGCCATACTGCATGAGTTGAAATCCTTGATCTGTCATTTATTAGCCATGTGCGGTCTCACGTTATGCTTTGCGACTTCACTTTATCTTTTGAAAAATGAGGCTAGCAAGCCTGGCAGGTAACTCAGGCCTGTGATCCCAGCACTTAGGAGCAGGCAGGGAAATCAAGAGTTTAAGGTCATAAGTCTTGGCTATAGGAGTTAGATGCCAGTTTGAGTGAGCTACGTGAGGCCTGTCTCAAATAAAAATCAAAACAAAAAATAAGGTTAGTAACAGCACCTGCCTCACAGTGTGAAAGATTATATCAGTTA